GCACAGACTCAAGCCTGTCCGAAGAAGAATATATATATATATATATGTATATGTATATATGTATGTATATATATATATAGCGAGCAGATGAACTGTTTGACTGTGATCAAGACCGCAAGGTACTGCAGCATGAATGCGAATGAGCCGATGCCAAATCATCAAGCTGGATGCAATCTCTTTCTTGGTAGATGCAAGACCTACGTGCCGGAACATGAAGATGCTGCACCCAAGCTGCCGTCATCCATCCAGCCCATCAGTTCATCCTGCCCATCAGTTCGAACCAAATCGCCCTCTCAGCGTTACGCAGCATGCAAAGCAAAAGACAGCAGTCAGCAGTAGCGACGATGAATCCTACCCGAAAACTCGTCATTCTACCATACTTAAGATAAGACGATGAAGCATTGCAATTGTTCTTTCTGCCAGCCCATACGCCCTAAAACCCCAAATCAACAAGTCCGTCTCGTTTGGCTATTCATAGGAGACCCCTACACACCAGTTTGGTATTCATGGGAACCCCCGAACCCCTATACCTCCAACCCCATTTTGGTATTCATAGGAGACAGCTTTTCCTGTGTAGAGCTGGGTTCAAGGTGCCCATTGGCTTCCCCGAGCTCCTCGCATGGGGCTGCTTCCCGTGGCATGGGCCTGAGCTTGACTTGGATTTGCGCACGTGGTGGGGCTTGGGGTTTAGGGTTTAGGGTTGAGGGTGGGTTTACCCTCAGAGTCCCAACATTGACTGAGAAACAATTCGAGTTCCTTTAATCCTTTCCCTCCTTAACGCCTTCCAGGACCCGTTTGATATTCTGGCTTTCTTCTGCGCTGACCTGTTCTACTGTACTACTCTGCATTCATCACCAGAAGCAACTCCTGCGTAGAAGTGGTCGATTCAGAAGTCGGTGGTGCACTAATTAAGCACCGGCGTACCGGACAAACCTCCTGGCTTTCCAGCCTCTTTCCACTGCTCGTTCGCAAGATGGGTAGCATGAATGCTTGCGTTGGTTGCTGTCTGTGCGCTTTGCACTTTCCAGCGGAGGGTCAGGAGTCGTGCACGGAAAAATATGGAAAAGTTGCGTAGGTCAGCTATTGAACGGCTATTGGGCCCCAATCACCTGTTTGGAGTTGCCCATCTAACCAGTTTCGTCTGTCGTGTTAGAATGGCAGCTTTACGGACATCCCGGCTCAACCCAGCCTCGTTCTTCTAGAAGTTGCAGCGTATTTTGGGTTATCCAGGGCCTTCTCGGCCTGGAAAGGACTCAGCTTTTGCATCCAGCTCAACACGCATACTCACAGCTAGAGGGAAACTATCTTTATCCAAGTGTGAGTGGGGCTGATTGTAGACAACGATACAGGCGTTGTGCCAACGCTGGGGAATCAGGCTCATTGCGTTCCTACTTGCAAAGCACTTCAAGCCTCCACTCAAGAGAGACTTATAAAATTGTGTTCTTCCCATCTCGAAAACCAATGTTGAACAGATACAAAAATATCAACGCCTGGCAAGGTCTTGGAATCTGCGACCCTGACAAGCGGCGATTGGTCCACGGCCATGGGACCGGTGACTCGCACCAGAAGCGCGTTTCGGGGCGTTTGCTGCGTCACTTGTTCGGTACATGACAGTGTGTGGTATTGCTGATATGCCATGATGTGAGATGATATGACATGGCATGCTATGTGTAGTTTGGGATAAGTCAGTATAATATGTAAAACTACACGAGACCATATTGCATTGTATTGTATATCTAGTTCTATCATGTTTGTATCATGTTCTGTTCGATTATTTTAGTCATATTTTACGGCAGTTAAGTTACATAGTATTTGAGTCTAACCCCTATGTTACACTATGTTTTATTACATGATACTGCATGTTGTCATGCCGTATGATATTTCATTATTGGATTCTATTCTGGTATTTTCCAGTCTGTATCCCAGGGTTGAACTCCAAAATTCGGCAAGCATCATGTCGACAGTCACAGCCAAAAACAACAAACATGCTTCGGAAATGTACTGTGCAAGCTGCAACCAAGGATATTGAGAGCGCCCCTTTAAGCAAGGATCCTGAAAAAAGGGAAAGTGGAGTCTTGGGGCTGCCTCCAAGCAGTAACTACCCTAAAACCGTAAATCTTAAATCCCAGAAGGCCGAAACCCCAAAACCTCAAACCTATGCCCCAAAAGTCTCAAGCCACACGAAAAAACCTAGAATCCAAACAGCTAAGCCTCAAACATTCTAAACCCGGAGCCTTGTGTGATGGTTGAAAGAAGGGGAAAATCTAGAGACGAGCCCTGAGCCAGGGCTACATGACATTCAGAACTGGTTGAGGCTCTGGGGCAAGGTCTCGCATCTCCGGTGTTGACCATTGCTGTAGCCATTGCGGTGCGAGCTTGTTCAAATTGCTTTGGTAAATTGCTTGTGTGTTATTGGTACTAAGATTGCTGCTAGTTGGTATTGTGCTTAGATTAGTACGAGTTGCTATTGCAATTACGTAGCCTTTTGAGCTAATTAAGCCTCAGCACTAGTATCTTATATTATGTCAGTTTTTTAAATGAAGCTATGCCACCTTTTGTTTTTTGCACTATTCTACTATATTAATAGTATACCATTCATGCTATGTTATATTGTATTATGTTCTGTCTGAGGAGATGGTTTGGCCTTCTTTGTCTGATCAGGCGGCAGAGGGCGTGGCCAAGGGTATCACTTTTGGGATTGTAGCGTTTAGGGCTTAAGGAGTAAAGTCGGTATAGGTTCGGAGGCTTGGGGTTTGGGGTTAGGGAGAGGGACAGCAAAAAAGAAAGAAATGTCAACAGCAAGACTATAGTTAGCAAGGAATCGGGTGGAAACGAGGACTTTCTCGAGAATCACATATCCGTGCGCGGCCATCCACATCTCATCTTTAGATTTCGTCGCTAGTACCAGCATCTGCATGACCGTCGTCCATAAGATCATCTTTGGCTGGAGTTATCTGGGACCAGGAGTTCACGACAACTAGTATTCTCATCTCTGCTTGTGCCACAACTCTGTGTGATGTGCCCGCCCATGTGTGCGGGCGAGAGTTTACCAAAGCAGCGGTTATGCTGATGATGGCCATGCCGCAATGTCCTGCGTGGAGGACTTAGGAGTAACTTTCCGGGTTGTGGGTAGTGTGCCGACGCTCAGGGTCACATATATGAACCGGTGAAGAAGATGCTTTGCAAAGCCGCCAGCGCAATTAACAGGAGCATCACGGTCCGGGACATTTTCCTCCATAGGCCCTTGATTACAACCGCAAGCCCCTGAGCCTTGAACCCCTCAGAACTGCCTCCTAAACCCTAGGCCGCAAACCCTGAACCCCTTCACCCAAGCCCCACACTCTGGACCCTAAACCCTCCGTAACTAGCTGGCAGGCGAGGCGGCAGCACGGCATTCGTTGAACCCGAGAATTCGCTGCCTCCGGAGAAGGACCGGGCACTTGCAAACCTGCTGAAGATTTGAGGAGCTGAGCTGGAGTTACGATATTATGTAGGTGTAGAGTTTAGGAGTTTAGGCGTTAAGGGTTGAACTGGGGGTTTCCAGGTTCAGGCTTTTCTGGCCGCAGGCGCGAATTGAATCTCGCGATCGTTACCCTGATCGTCCAACCCTCTTGTTAAACACGAAGGTTCACAACCTTCATACAAAACCGGGCGGTTGCGTCAGAGACCAAATTTTGGGTGTTTCGGGGTGTGGGTTCAGACACAGCTTCACTCTCTTCGTTTTCACTCCAGCGGTCGAGCCAGAAGCGTTTGCAGCACTGCCTTGGCTGCTTAAATGCAGTCAGATCCTTCATGTTAGAGGCATAGCGCGGAGTACTTTTAACAGTTAAGGCACTCGGATCCACATCGGCATCTCCACATAATCAGTCGAAGGAAGCTTCATTGACACAGCCTCGGATGGAACAAAATGTTATTTATGACTTGAAAAGTCGTTCAGAATCCCCAGGACCTTGTCATACATAGGGCCTTGCAGCTTGAATTCCTTACTGGGTTGGGGCTGGGAACTGCTTCGAAACTACAGGAAGCCTATATATTAAACCGTAGGCAACCCAGTGCAACCCAATAAAAAGTTCATATAAATCTCCATTGCCTTGTCTAAATGGGGCTGCCCAGCTTGAATTCCTTGCTGGGTTGGGGCTGGGAACAGCTTCGAAACTACAGGCAGCCTATATTAAATCACATACAACCCAATAATAATTGATTATGGCTCTTTCAGTTATTTCTTGCTTGGCGACAAAACTGCAGATGAAGGGCATGCCAGCAGCTCATCTGGGAGCACATCTCATCGCTTCCATCCTTGTTCACGCACTCGCCTGGGCAGCCATGTTTGGGATTCGGATTAGTATATAATTATATTGAAAAATTAGAAATTAATCGGAAAATGGAAAGCTATAACTGATCTGATCTGAGCATCTTCGTCAAGCGACGCTTTGCCGCAATGAGCTTGAGCTGCCCCATTCGCAGAATCCAGCGGTTGAATGGGCCAGGTTTTCGCGGAGCCCGTAGACTAATTCCTGAATCTGATGCTCATGAAAAATCATGAAAAAAGTATGTATGTATATGTGTATAGTATATCACAACAACTCAGGTTCTTACGCTTCAGCCAGCCCATGGAGTCTTCTCCAGCGAAACAGTGGCTGTAGCGTGTATTGTAGCCTCAGGGTCCCAGAACCATCCCGATGTAGTGATATAAACGGGAAATTACTGGAATTTATTATATAGGGCTCCAGGGTTTATAAGGGTGTTAGGCTTCATAGGGTTTAGGGGTTGGCTTAATTATTTTAGGGTAATTATATTGGACAGGATACACCATTTGTGGCTTTGGTCCAGCAAGTGAAGCATTGCCTGACATGCACACTCATGATGATCATGAACCATATGAAGAGCCACTCAGTTGAAGCCGAGCTGCATGGAATTTGGGTTTCAAGATCCAGGCCACAATCTTCTGCCTCAGTCAGATCGGGATTCAGGTAGGGAAGTTCGGCGAGATTATATAACAAGTATAAAACACCCGAACGAATAGCAAGGCAAGTAACCGATGGGAAACTTGGGTGAGTCGCAGGTGGCATTTCAAGAACAGCATGCCATTCACATATATCTCATCATTTTGCTGCCTTGTCCTCGGCACGGGTCTAGTTCGAATCTGAGACACACACACACACAAACACACACGAATCTAG